AATGACTATAGACAAGGAAAATCCGCTGCACTTATCAGAGATACTGCAGAGAAGCCAAAGGCGTAAGAGGGGAAACACAGGGCACGTTCTTCCCTGGTTAGTAGGTTCTGGGATCGATTGTAAAGGGTCCGAGTGGATGGCCCGAAGGGATGGCTGGAGGTCGCATTAAGGGATCCCGACCTGCAGTGCCGGAATCGGATACACTTGAGACCAAAGAAAGGCCCTGTGTCGGTCCCTGAGCACCAGTATCAAACGGAGCCCTCTGCTCCGTTTCGAAAAGGGGCCGGATAAGGTGAACGAGGGTTCCTGTACCAATTCTTGGACCCTACTTCCAGTGACGGATCTGCTTGCGTCAACGAGGGTCCCCTACGCCGACCTGAGGTCAATCGCTCCGGTCGGTGGGTGCCTTGCGCCAGGGAGGGTACCGATGCATGATGCATATCTCTAAGGCCTCCGGATTGACCAAATGTCCTACCATCGGACAGGTCCCGTGTCACCAGAATAGCACCCGGCAGGTAACCCAGGTTGAGGCGGCAGGACCCTTCATAATTTGGTTGGGAAAGGCGAAGACCCGAGCGCTCCAGCCACGGCGCCCCATGTTTGGGCTAAAAGGTGGCTCCCTAGTGTTCGATGCACAGGACAATCTCAATTAGGGGGGCTTCCTGGCATGGCTGGCTGGCATACCTATGAACACTGGACCTCTCAAAGGAAATAACGCCTATTCCAACAATTGTGATTGATTGGGGGAAGGGGTTTTCACCGGCCCGCGTCATTAAGCTCTGTGTCCCCCAACCTCTCTAAAAAGACTAGCTACGCCGCTGATAGAGACAGTTAAGAGGGATGCTGTTACACTGGATTGCATAATCCTCAAGTCTTCACAAAAAACGTTGTCATTCAGAGATTGGAGTCCAAATCTGGGCGGAGCTGTGGATAGTGCTCCAGTGGCGGAAGACAGGTGGGCTATCGTACTTCGGTCCCTTAAAATTACACGCATTTTGCACTCCAGGTCCTGTCGGAGGCCGCATTGTCTTACCTTTTACGATGAGCTCGATGGTTTGGTGGCGGAGCGTAGAAATAATTGGTAGGCTTTGGATGCTAAAACGAATTGTGGTTGTCATTCCGAAATTAGGTGTACCGTCACGAACTTTAATGAGAGAGTTCGCGGTGTATAGGTGCAAACTATTTCGTAAGAAGCTGAGAAAAGCGTTTGATGACCGCTTATTTGAATCCCCAGAATGAGGTTTGGTTCCTTTGGTTCAATAATGAAAGCCTGACGTTGTTAAAATGCATTTACTTTTTTGCTAGAGCGTAGCGTTAGAGTAAATGGGGATTAATGATGTTGAACTACCCTCGAAGCATCATGATCATCAAAGCAATTTTACGATGAAATTGGTGCAATTATACAAGGAAAGACATAAAATCTTGCACTATTCGTCATTATTTCCGTTACCTTCCTGTTGTAATTAATTTTACTGAATATGTACTGATTTGATCCTGACACTCATTCTCTCTGATCACTTTAGCGTGAGCATAATCTTATCATCAACTTTAGTACCTGATCACTCATACTACATGCCCGCTATATGTAACCACATGCAACCGATTGTTCTACAACGTAATCGCATTTTCTCATGCTGCCTTGCCCTGAATGTTGCTGGGTATTCCCGCTACCGGCATTACGCCGCCGCCAGCCGACTAATCGGATTCTGGTCGAGCCGGCACGCGGTCTGCAGCGTCCGGCGCCGCGCCGTGACGCTTCCGTGGCGTTTGTTGTGACGCTCCGCCCGGGCGGCGGCCATGAATCCGACTGTCAAGTTCAAGGCGACGGCCTCATGGCCATGCGTCGCTGGAGACAAGGCCAGGAGAGTAATACTCTCGTTAAGGGCCGGGCAGGAATGGCACCGGCCGGCGGGCGGACCGCCGCGATCTCTGAAGCATGGCGGAACAAAACAGCGGCGACGCCCGGCTCTGGGGACACTTCCAGCTAGCCACGCCCGTTAAACGCACGGGGTCTAGCTCTGACGAGAGGCGGCTAAACACCTCATGTAGGAATATTTGCCATCTAACAGCTTTGAGAGCAACACGGAGATAGTGTTTTCCGAGCGGGCGTTACAAATGTAAAACTTTATTACGCTGTCAGGGGCCTGCAGCGTCAGTATGTCGAGACTTGACAGCCCGGCTCAACTCAACCAAGAGCACAAGTGACATCTACACGATAGCACATACCAGGGCGCTGGCAAATGCGTTAGCCCAGTTCCATACCGAACAGGTCGACACAGTGATATAACGCCAGTCTCCGTTGCAGTCTCCCGTGCTACTGACCTGTGTCCACTGCAGTCTCTCTCCGGGACCCGCCCGCGGCCTACATCTCGGCCCGAGCCCGCATCATTATCGCTCATCACCAAAACGGTTATGTCTAGCGGAGCGGGTCATCCGTGACAGTCGGACGGTCAGGTTCCTCGTGAGTAATGACTCAGATGCACCAGAAAAATCAACAAGCGTCGGTCCATGGTGGGTGGCCTGTCTTCTCTCTCTCTCTCTCTCTCCTTCTCTTATCCTCCCTTTCTCCTCCATCTTTTCTCATCTTTGTTCCGCCGTCTACCCTCCTCCGTCTCCGAGGACCGGGCCTCGGACGGGCACAACTCGTGGGAGCGCGGACGCGGCGTCGCCTGCTTCTCCGTGACGTTCAGAGGACGCCGATGTCTCTCCGTCGGAATGGGGGCCGGGCCGAGGCCGAGCCGGCCGACCGCGGCGGCTGTGCAGGCGGGAACAAGGTCAGTGAACCGACACCGCCTGCCGGTCGCCGCCCGCTAAAAAACGGAGCAGACGTGGAGCCGGAAGGCTAGCAGAGCCGGCGTGATCTCTTGCACTAACGACGGAAACTGAGGAAAAGGCATCTGCTTTTAACGCAGCGTGATAAAAATGTTATAAAAACGAGCTCAAAATCCTTGCAGGCAGGAACAATGTGGAAAGGACTTGAGATTACCTGAGTCAGTGATTGATACGTCAATTTAAATCGGTGCTTGCAAACTACAGAAACCGCTTTCCAACGGCTTAATTTTCCCATTTTTCAATACCGCACGCCTGGCAGCCGGCCAAACTTATTCTTAGTGAGATTGGCATTCCGATTGGACAAAACCTGTCCGCTGTGGTTTTTGTATCGTTTCCTGATGCTCACATGGTTCGTTCAAGCAAGCCGCTTATGTTCAAATTCAGAACACACCGCGTGTCGCATGCTTACGATGCGGGCCGAGGGCGGTCAAATCGGTATCAGTTCTCCTGAGTGTAGAAGGAAAGCCAGCGACTTGACGGACATCTCACTGGGAACAGCCAGACTGTAGAGGCGCCTCAGCTGGGTCGCTGTCATATGGGAGCGGTAGCGGAAGAAGTGTCCAGAGATGAGCAAAGGGAGTGATTTTGCAGCAGTCTGGATGATTTCTGTTTGTTTTTCACATCTATAAGATAACTTTATCTTTCCCCAGTTCCTCTAGCGCCCTCGTTTTGAGGTTTCCGACTTGTCCCTTTGCCCACCTATCTCTCTTCTTTCAATACCCGGTTACCCGAGCAGTAAACACACACTCTTAATCGCCTGTAGACCAGTTCGCGACGCAATGCCTACCACCCTACCACAAGAACAGGGCGCGGGAAGTCGAGCAAACGAGAATCAAACGGAACCCGCCAAACACAGATGACAGGCGCGCGGCGCCGCGGAGACGTCAGAGATCCGACCGCGCGGCAATCGGCAGAGCCATCTCGCGTCGCGAGCGGGACAGGCGCAGGCGATGCGGCGCGGCGGGGTGGGCTCGACCCCACGGCGCCGAATGTGGATCACGTGCGGCCCGGCACCGTCCGAGAGATCATTAACCCTGGCCGCGCTGACAATGTCGGAGAACTCGTTCTGGGGGCCAGAAGCGGTCGGCAGCGCGCGCTGGTGGGAGGGAGGGGGAGACGCCGCGTCGGCTGGGCCGGGCCTCCAGGAGGAGGGCGAGACGTCCCGCGGCGAGGGCCGAGCCGACCGCGCCAGGACTCACGGGCAGAGCGGAGCCGGCGACGACCGGAGACCGACGGATGGACGCCGGCGAGCTGGGATGGAGACTAGTACCGACAGACAGAACTCCGGACAAATCTTAATTTTTCCTCAGGAATTTGTTGGCCCCTGTGCGAGCCAACAGATTCCTGACGTGCTCAAAGAACGCAGGGTCGCGTGAAAAACTACAAGGCCGGGAAGCTATGCAGCAATCGGCAGACCCTTGGGTAGCTTGGTGAGCGTCTTGAGCGCATCAGGAATCTGTTGCCCTCTATGTGGGCCAACAGATTCCTGATGTGCTCAAAGAACGCAGGGTGGCGTGAAGAAATCCCTAAAGACTCTGCAGCAATCGACACACCCCTGGGTAGCGTGGCGAGCGCCCTGTCGACCAGCGGCACCTGCGCGGGCCAGAACTCAGGCTCGGACTGGATCGCGGCAGCCGCCTCTAGGGCGGGCCGCCAGCCGACGGCATCGCCGTCCGTAAAGGTTATATAACGGTCGACATCAGCGGGCCTGTTTTTTTACTGGGCCATCTCTCGGACCGACGCCCGGCGGAGGCCGACAAAACAGCGCCGACGCCAGTGCGCAGTAGCCCACTGGCGCTGCCGACGCGGCGCAGCGCGACGAACGTGCGCCACAAAAACGGCGCGCGCGGCGGCCTTGCGGCATCGCGCGGCGCAGCTGGAACTCGTTCCGCGCCTCGCGCGCGCCCGGTCAGCCCATCCGACCGGCCGTTGCCCGTTCGGCCAGTTGCGACACCGACCCCGGCGGCTGACCCACGAGGAGCGGGCTGCGGAAGCGCCGCTGGCCGGCCGCCGAGTGAAGACCCGAGCGCGTGCCACCGACTGATTACCTATGAGCGCACTCGTTCTGCCTCGTCTTTGTCTTCCAGTTCTCGCACCCCGAGCGATGTTATCTCGGAAAGCTTTTGTCCATCCCTGCATTGTCCGGACTGACTGCCAGCCCTGCGAAGGGGAGGGGCAGGTCGTTGGGCGGTTGGCAGGCCCGTTCGGCCGCTGCCCGACCGCTGGGCGCGGCGTGGCGCAGCGAGCCGGCCCAGCTCGCCCGCGCGGTCACTCACCTCGGCCGCTCTTTACACCGGGCCGCAAGGTCACTGCCAAGGCAGCAGCCCTGCGACGTCAGCCGAGAGGTCATGGGACCGCTCCGTTCCCAATACCGCCACGTGGTGCGACGCCGCCGAATGCACCAGCGGGAGGCGTAATCCCGTAACGGGACGCATGTGCAACGACTATGCAAAGCGTAGTCCTCTACATGCAGCGGCAGCGGCAGCGTTTTGTTAGACAGGACATGCTTGTTACGGCGCTTTATGTTTGGTCGAAAAGTTACACATGAAAAACCGTGGTGTTTTATTTATCGGAAAATGCCCACTTTGCTATAAGTGAAACATTACAACTTAATCGGCGAGTCACGACAGGTTTACGCCGCCTTGATCCAGTGCACAGTATATCGTGCATACAAAAGCATTTCACGCCACTCCAGTCACATTTCCATGCCGATGAGTTCCAGTGCCGCGGAGTCCGACAGAGCGCGGGATCACCGTGGCCGGCCCGACCAGTCAGCGCCAGCCGACGGCTTACCGGAGCGGCGGAGGCACCGGCCGGAACAGGGCCGGAACCGCGCGGCGGCGGCGGCCGCGGACAGGACCGGAACCGCGCAGCGGCCCGGCCGCGGACAGCTTCCCGTTACTCCTGCGGCGTGCACGCCCAGCGTTACGGTGCTGCAACGGCTGCCAGCCGGCTCGTACCCCGCAGCGCAAGACGCAGCCCGGGAGTCGTCGGCATTCAAATACCGTTGTCAGACACTGTACCAGAAGCATTGCCAGAGGCGTCATGCCCGTCGAGGTGCGGACGTAGCCTAAGCCGCAGCACCCACGACTGGCGCCAGAGTTCACTCACATCGGTGCATTTTGGCTCCGTGCCAGCCAGACACAACGCGCCGTTAAGTATCGTAACTCCTGCAAGATTTATCCCCGATGCATTCATTGCGCAGCGCCCTGCAGGTCGTGACCTGCAGACGAATGTTGTGCGAACAGAGAGCAAGTCTACGGGGAGATGCCGTTCAATCAACGGCGCATGACCAACCTCAAGCGTCATTCCGGAATGGATTACGCTACTAAAGTGAGCTTACGCATCGGCTCAAAGAGTCTGGCCATGGCAAGTTGAACCCATGAAGAAATGTCTGACACGCAACGTCGCGCTGGAAATTGGCCTTCAAAATGTACCATGATCACCTGACTTGAGCTGGAAATTGGCCGCGCATGATTCCTGTCACATGAGTCAGCGCCGCCATGTAATTGCGGCACTACAGCTATGCTGGTAGGGTATGAAGACGATGCGACGCCTGAATTCTGATTCACATCGTTTCGACCGCCGGTTGGGAGCCCGCTCCCCCCAATCAGATTTCACAGTGTGTTGAGTTACAGCTCTCTCTCTCTCTCGAGGTTATTTCGGGGAGATGACACAGAGACATTGCTGAGGCCTGTCAGGATCTGGATGTGTTACTAGGGCCGCTTTGGACAGGTGAGTGAGTGGTGGATCCCAACATGACATAAAAAGTGCGGTGCTGCCTCGGAATGTTCGGGGAATTTGGAAAACTGGAAAACCAGGAAGTCAGTCAGCGTGAATTGACTTCTTCGAGCGCTTCTAAAACTCTGTATCGCTGGGGAGAGGCCCATCGCCTGACGCGCGGTGAAGGAACACCGCACGTGCAATTGCACTGGGCCATTATCCAGAAATCGATCGAATGTTCAGTACGCCATCTAAAATGGCAATTCAAAAATTATCTCACAATGCTTCAAAGAGCAGCAGCGTTACCTCGCTGTCAAACTGTCCCAAGCTATAAGAGGTTAAACAAACTGTGGACGAATTGCGATATCCCAGGTTCACAGCTCCAAGTCTACGACTGGAGCAGTGAAGCGGAATTTGGCGTACTACTGAGACTCCACCACCGATAGTTATGGCCAGAAGGAAGCGCCGCGGGAGGCGTGCCACCCCCGAGACGCCGTCGGCGGTGCGAGGAGCCGACGTTGCACGTCCGGGAGCCCCCTGAGCGTGGCGGGGCTCGTACGACGCCCGCGCGGCGCTCTCTCCGGCGCATCCGGAACAGGCCGGGGCGGGTCAGCCGGGGGAGGGGGCAGCGGCGCTCTCTCCCTCACGTCGACCCAGTTCGGTCGGCAGCATCCGGCAGCCCGGGCGGCGCCGGGGGACGTCTCCGGGACGGGGCCTTGCCGCCCACCCACGGGTGCCGCACCTGATGTGGTCCTGAGAGGAGCCCCAGGTCACTCAGAGGTGCTGCACCCGCTCAGCTCACCCACGGTTCCTGGAATGGCGCCTGCATCGCCCACGAGGTGATGGATCTGACATATTCCCGGGAGGAGTCCCCGAGTCACCCGCGGCGTGATGAGTCGGCACATGCCACCAAGACCCCCAGATGGCGCTCGTGGTGACGCATCTGACGCCGCGCCGCCGCTGTTTCAGCCGCCGATCTGCAGGACGTCGTGCGAGACAAGCGCCAGCTATGGCCCAAGTACCCCAACTACCCGCAGTCGGTGGTGCCGCCCGGCTGGCCCGGCCTCCCAGCAGGAGTCACCGCTACTTGTAATACGGCGGACGGACGGTAGGTGGCCATGACGTGCCCCACGCTAGATGTGCGAATCGAATCTCGAAAGATAGCTCCCAAATAAACAAAACGGACGGTAGTAGGCCAGCCTGTTATGTCTAGACTCACTGCCAACCGAAGTAACTAGGACGGCTCATTGCAGCTGAGCTGTCCCATGTGCCATGCTGTTCTCCTGCTCCGCAGCTTCCTCCCTCTGCTCCGCTTTGCACCATACCTGGATACATAAATTAGGTGTGTATAACCGGTTGGGCCGATCTGATGTTTTCGCCACTTTTACTGGAGCGGCCGGTGATCGGTTTGGTGGAGAGTGCCGGCGTGACTGGCGGTCATATATTCCTCGATGTTTGCCATGTAATGCACCAGCATCAGTGCTTTGTTCTCTGTCAGTTAGCTCCTCCTCTGAATCGTTTCAAGGAAAAGCCGCTGTCGGGCCCTTGTACAGGAATTGCATCTGCCACGCCCTTCGACGGGTCATTACACTTATCCCATCCCCAGCAGTTGTGTACGGCATCCCCCGTCCCCGGGGACGAGCCCGCACTCGGTCCTGTCGCCATGCGAAGGCCGGAGACTCGGCACACTGCACGGGGAGTCCTATGGCTCCGCCTGACTCACAGGAAAGGCTTAGTTCAGCCCGTTCCTGAAGGCCACCCTTTAGCCTCACCTTACACCCGCAAGCGGTCTTTACCTATGTCCTGTGTCCGTCGCCTACCTCTGTCCCACCTTGCCCATACAAGGGCGAGCTCTAGCCTTCCGTCGCCCGGCAGGAGCGGCCTGTGCCTGACGCGCTCGACCTGTCGCTGGACGCGCGACACGACCGAGGACGACCCCAACAGCCTAGACAGGACGCTGGGGGCCTGCACGGCCGTCGACTCGTCCTCACGGCGCGGCGAGCCGTCGGTGCGCGGCGTCTGCTGCCCAGGCCTCGGCGTCGGCAGCGCTCCCACCACGCCGCGGCCGGCCGGCGCCGCTGCCACGCAGTGGTGGCAGACCACGCAGGCGGCCTCCACCCAGCGGGCGGAGGCGTCCACGCAGTGGTGGCAGACGTCTACTGAGCAGGTGGCGCCGACGCACTGGTGGCAGTCGACGCAGGCCGCGGCGCCCGCGGCCACCACCACCAGGCGTCCGGCCGCCGGCAGCACGCAGTGGTGGCAGACCACGAGGGCACCGTCGGGGACCAGCGAGCGCGCCGAGGCGCCGACGCTGGCGCCTGGCATCCCGGCGTTCATCACGCACGCGTGGCAGGCGACTGGCGGCACGACGGCGCGGCCGCCGGCGGTGGTGCCCGGCGCGCCCACCTCCAAGCCGCGTCCGCCCGGCCTGCCGGCGGCGCCCACCCACTGGTGGCAGAGTACGCCGAGCTCGGCGCCAGCGCCGGTCACTGACCGCCCGGCTGGCGCCACCCAGTGGTGGGAGACGACCAAGAGGCCGACGGCGGCCACCACCAGACCGACCGCGCCGCCGGCCGGCGCCACCCAGTGGTGGGAGACGACCAAGAGGCCGACGGCGGCCACCACCAGACCGACCGCGCCACCGGCCGGCGCCACCCAGTGGTGGGAGACGACCAAGAGGCCGACAGCGGCGCCCAAGCCGCCGGGCGCCACGCAGTGGTGGGAGACGACCAAGAAGCCAGTGACCACTACCAAGAGACCGACGCCGCCCGCTGCCGCCGGCGGCGGCGGCGGCGGCGGACAGTTCAGCGCGTGCGGCACGCGCAGCACCGAGGGCGCCGACAGGATCGTGGGCGGCACGCAGGCGGCGAAGGGCGAGTTCCCCTGGCTGGTGAGTGGAGGGCAGGCTCCTGTGGCTTATGAGCCCCTGGTAACTGGTACGGCGGCTGACCAGAGTGAGGTCTCCACGGGAGATGGGTCTCCAGCGAGTTCTCTTGGCTTAGAAGCGTCTGGGCGGCAACATTGGACAAATTTGCTTGCTTTGTGAGTGCTCCGCGAGTTTCATTGGATGAAGAACGCTTAGTTCAGTACGGCCACATTGAGTGAAGTATGCTTTTGAATTGTATGATAATATTCGACTTTTTGTAGACGGCAAGCTTCCAGCTGAGCATTAGTGCAAGCCCACAGATGATCAATGCAGATACCGCATCTAGTCATGCGAACCATGGAATCATCAGCACTGACTTATAAGCGTCCTGTTGCTAAAATCAAGTCTTAGCTGGCATCGAATGTTTTAATAGCTTATCTCAACTCTTGCGACCATCAGTACCTTTCTGCATACTTCCTCCACACCCGTAAGGATAAGTCGAGAAGCCTTTCATCGGAGCCCCACGCGTCCATCCATTTGCGGAGTCCTTGGCCGCTAGGTGATGACGCGGCTGAGCTTGCAGCACGACCTGTTGGAGAAGCTTAGTCTCGCCCCTCGTTGTTGGAGAAGCTCAGTCTCGCCCCTTGTCGCAGGCGGGCATCTTCAAGAGCGGCCGACAGTTCTGCGGCGGCTCTCTGATCGACAAGCGACACATCCTGACGGCAGCTCACTGCGTGGCCCAGTAAGAACCTCACTCCCTGCCCGCACGTGCTTTATGTTGGTTAAGTCGTGTTTGTTTGCTGTCACTCAACTGCCCATGTCTAGAACCTTGCAACGACTGCTGTGTTGAAACCTCTTCGTGGTTTATTGTTTCTGGCAGCTGCCCTTGGCTCTTTCCGTTCATTCTAACGTGCGTTTCTGGGCAGTCTCAGTTAAAAAAGTACAAAAGTGGCGCATGGGCGCACGTCGTACGTTTCCAACACGCTGCGTTGATACTCGCAGCGTTTAAATGAGTCCCCAGAAGCCCGCCTCGGACCGGCCTCCAAGCTCGGGATGCTTCGGTGCCCTCTGACAGCGGTGTCAGCAGCACCGGTGTCGTCATCTCCAGACGGCCGTCGAGCGGCCTGCTCTGGCGCGGCTGCCGCCAGCCCGCCGGCTGACACTGGCCCTGTCCGCAGCATGAGCTCTTACGACGTGTCCCAGCTGCTCGTGCGGGTGGGCGACCACGACATCAGCTCGCCCTTCGAGGCCAAGCACGCCACGTATAAGGTGGCGCGGATCGTGCGCCACAAGGGCTTCTCCGAGAAGACACTGGTGAGGAGTCGGTGGTTAAGGCGAGCCAGCTGACTGCGTGCTGGATTCCGGATACGAGGAGAGGCCACGTAGGACGCGACCGTGAAGTTCACACACTGACCTTGTCCTTGACTAGCCACGTCCGGCACATAACTTCATGATCGCAACGGAGCGTCACATCATGTTATGCCATTGTTCTGGGGCACTGCACTCTGTTATGTAATCGCAAGGAGCGGCCCAGGATTACAGGTTGTTAGGTTTTGTTTATAGCGAGTAATTGTTATTTCGACAGAAGGTAAGTTTCTGGCCGTGCTACACAAGCACACAACTGGCCGCCAAACAATAACGGTCCGGCGGCGGTGTTCTCCTCCGAGTGTGTTCAAAAGCAACGTGAAAATCAGTACGAAAACCGTTAAAGATCATTATATTTTTGACGCACAAGAAATACAAGTGACTGAAGAGAAAGTCATATCTTTGCCGCTGTCACATCAAAGACAAAATTGTCCGATTCTCTGCAAGGACGTAGTGCCTCCATAGAACCACCCAGCAGTTTGTTTCTGTTCCCGCCTGCAGCATACGGACATCGCGCTGATCACGCTCACCAAGGACGTGGAGTTCAGGACCAACATCCGGCCGGTGTGCCTGGACTCGGGCAGCAGCACGTACGCCGGCGAGATTGTCACTGTCGCCGGCTGGGGCAGCCTGCGCGAGGGTAAGTCACCCAGACTGGGGGTCACAGCCGGGAGGCAGCGACTAGCTGAGGCCAAGCCGGACCAGGGAAAGGAGTGCACGATCGCATGTGGTTATTCGATCTGTTCTATCGGTTTTCTGGAGGTTCATTGCGTAGCATGCAAAGTCGGCAGCTTTCTTGTGCTCCACAATTGCGTTGTTTTTACGTTGATCCCCTAGACGTCGCTCTCGCGCCCAGTCATTGCAATTTCACCAAACAAACTCAACTGGGCACAACCCTGCACTGCGCGGACGGAGCGATGTTAGGCAGAGGTGCTCAGCTCCACTGGGCGCCGACGGCTGCCGCCCGCTGCCGGGCTCGCGCGTGACCGACGCCGCGTGCGCCCCGCAGGCGGCCGCCAGCCGTCCATCCTGCAGAAGGTCAGCCTCAAGGTGTGGAGGAACGACAAGTGCAGGGCGACGTACGGCGCGTCGGCGCCCGGCGGCATCATCGACTCGATGCTCTGCGCCGGCCGCCAGGGCAAGGACTCGTGCAGTGTGAGTACCCAGCGATAGGGGGGGGGGGGGGGAAGCTGCTGCCGCGGTGGGACCGAGCGCAGTCCGGAGGCGGGAGGCGGAGCGAGCTCAGTGACGGAGCCGGACGGCGTCGCCCGAGATCCGCGTGGAAAAGAAACGATACCGGCGCCGCGGTAGTATGGATGGCAGGGTAGCATAGATAGCATGGATAGCTGGGTCGAACGCATCTTCAGCATGGCTTCAAAAAGCAAAACGGAGGCGTCTTCTGAAAAACTGTTTAAGCGTGAGGGGTGAAAGACGCGGGAGATAACACAAAGACGTGAAACGCTACGTTTTTAAACACATCAATCAGGAGTGAATCTTGTAATTAAAGATAATTGCCAAGTTCACACAGGCATGCCTTTTGGCCAAAAGCTCCGGCGAACATAGTATGGCCCGCGCACACACAGTCCGGACCGGACATATGCGGTCCGGACCGGACACACACAGACCGGACCGGACATATGCGGTCCGGACCGGACACACACAGTCCGGACTGAACACATACGGTCCGGACCGGACACACACAGTCCGGACCGGACATATGCGGTCCGGACTGGACACACACAGTCCGGGCCCGGCACCCACTGTCCGGACTGGAACACACAGACCGGACCGGACACACACAGTCCGGACCGGACACACACAGTCCGGACCGGACACACACAGTCCGGACAGGACACCCACTGTCCGGACCGGACACAGACAGTCCGGACTAGAACACGCAGTCCGGATCGGACACACACAATCCGGGCTAGACCTTCACATGCCAAGCAAGACTCGCATAGTCCCGACCGGACTCAACACAGTCCAGACCTGACTCCCATATCCAGGAACGTACGCGCACTCTTGACACTCTCTGTGGGAATCCGGTCCACAGTGTGGACCGGACCCCCACTGCCCGAAACTGATCAAGATATCCCAGGCAGGACTCTTACTGTCCAGACCGGGGTCACGCAGATGGAAACAAACTCCCATACCCTTGGTCAGACTACCTCAGTACGGACTGAACCGGACTCCTTACACCCGGAACAGACTCATTCAGCCCGGACCGAACCTAACTCTCACATTCCGGACCAGACTCGCTCAGTCCGGACCGGACTCGCACAGCCGAGCCCGATACCGGCTTGCGGCTCCAGCCTCGGAGGCGGACCACCACCGCGGACCGGGGCGTCAGCCGCCGCCGCCGCCGCACATCCCAGGCCGGTCAGACCGGATGGAAAATCCGCACGCGCGCGGCCGCTGCAGCGGCGCCTCTAATGGACGGCCGAGCAGACTGATATCGGAATGCGGTCGCGGCAGAGACGGCGCGATTAGAGAACAATGTGCACCGTCACCCCGCGAGGAGCCGGGGGCGCAGCGAGACAGAGGCGGGTCACGCTGGCGGAGGGCGACGTGGCGGCGAACCGTACAACAATTAGGCAGGCCCGATACTTCGTGATAAGATTGATTCGACTGTCTGAAATGTTACGCCATCGACGAGCTAGATGACCTCCGCTGTCGGCGCTTCCTTGAAGGTTCAGTTATCGTCATCGGTGGCCGGCACGTGTGGCGCGTGCGGGCTGCCTGTCGGGCCTGCTGGCGTGACGTTCCTGTTGGCAATGCGCGGGATCCCTTCGCCATCAGAGCGGCTGATGGTCCTCTGACGTATGCCGCCCTTGTCAGCGTGGTCATGCGCTGCATCTGTCGACGCCTGTTCGTGTGCTGTCGCCTTGCCCCATGTGTGCCCTCTGCCGTCGGTGTGTTCACTGGTGCTCCGTCTGGCACTGTGCTCACGTGCTCCCTCTGCCGGCAGGGCGACTCTGGCGGCCCACTGATGCGGGTGGCGGGTGTGGTGTACCAGGTGGGCGTGGTCTCGTGGGGAATCGGCTGCGGCAAGGCCCAGTACCCCGGCGTCTACACCCGTGTAGCCAAGCTGCGTGATTGGATTGATAGGAACAGGGCCGCCTACTAGGACGGGTGGGGCGGCGCGCGCGGCGGCCGCCACCCAAGACACGCGGGCGAACGGAGGCCGATGGCCGGCGGGGGTATCGTGTGATATCGTGGACTTCGTGTCGGAGAGTGCCTTTCCGCAGGGGGACAGGCGGGCTCGCTCCCTTCTCGAGCGTCGCAGAGCCGGAAAAGACAGACGGCGCATTATAATCTTCAAGACTTCATCGCATTCGCCAAGTCGGCCATGTGGGTTTTCCTTCTGCACTGGTGTGATGAGATGAGCGTTTAGAGGGTGTGTGTGCGTGTGCGCGTGTGTGTGGGCGTGTGGGAGTAAGTGGGTGTACCAGGCCTCGCCATGTCATTCTAGACTGATGACGAAGACTTGGAAATATCTAACGTCTTACAGGTCAATGCATTCGCTGAACCGTCGCATTAGGTCCATTGGTGGCGAGACCAAAACGCGACGGCTTTTTACAGAAAAACGCTGTGGTTTTGTCACATCTATACTGTGAAAATATACTACCGGATCATGTACTATCGTCTAATCATAGGCAGTAAGAACATTCAAGAGGACAAGAGGGCACGTCTGACTGAATCTGAGCTGTTAGCACATTCCAGGCATTAAGTGACAATCAAACAAATTTCAACAACTCACTGCATTAACCACTGTGTACTAGGGTGTGTCATCAGCAACAAAACCAAGTGAGACAAAGAAATTATTTGGCGCTGGGGCTCAAAAGTACACGGCATAGCAAAAGTTCTTCCCAAAAACTTGAATTCGTGAGGTGCGAGTCGATCGAAATATCGACGTACACTGACGCCTTGCGTTGCAGTCACCCCATGCTGGGGTAATACCTTCGCGTAAAGAAACGATGCTACTGAGCGCTCTTAAGCCGTTGTACGAGAATGTCCCGATCTCAAGTGTAATATGTGAATCAGACATTGCTCGGTTGATTGACTTTTGGCGGAAACTTTATGTGCCGTTGAGTATGAACTCGTACGAATATGCCGGTTAGTATTGCTTTAGACTTTCACTTCTCTAAGACAACTCACGTGATGCAAACAAAACTATGTGTAGGGTATGACTCAGAATATACTGTCTGGTGTAAAACTCAATACATACGGTAAGTTTTGCAGCCCGTACCACGGACGTAGAGGGGGTGAGGGGTGGGGGGAGGAGGGTGGTAGGGTGACCCCATGCACATCTTGCTCCTTACTGAGCCTGTGTAGTCAAGGCACCGGCCCAGACAGCAACTGCTCGCAGTTCGGAAACCCAAAACGCGTGTTGGCAAAGATCGCACGGTAGCAGAACTACCTTCGCAGCTGGGCTCCACAATACCAAACGAGTACGGTGTATATCCGTTGGGTTGCTTACCCACGGTGGCAAACGAACCTGGAGGGAAGAGTACGCACCTTAACGAAACGCAGCACAGCACCCCGGTAACACGTTTAATACGTTTGGAGAGGGGGCGTTCTTCATTCCTCTCCATGCCCCACCCATCGCAATTTAGATTGGTTTTAAGTCAGCGGCAGCGTTTCAAAATTCATCCAGCAGGGTGCGCAGGATATAAATATAAATTCATGCTATAATAATCCTGGCTCTCTGATGGCCTCAGCACGCAATTGATTGGCATTAATCCGTTGCCCTTTGACGCCGAGCCCAGACATCTGACCTGCCCAGCCCGTCTGTCAAGTCTGAGGCGCTTACGTACTGGGCTGACAGCAGCCCGGTTTGGTGCTGACTGGCTGATTTTGAGCAAGGGGAGGGGCAATAGTGAGCCTCAAAACGGGGTGTAGCACATGAAAAAATATCGACATCCCCGCCACCCAAGTGGCCGAATATTGGACCGCTGGCCAGTGGGAAGAGTTGGTAAGGATCGTCGGCAAGACGGCTGGGTAGGTCGAGGGCAACTTCACAAGTGAATGTCGCAGGTCAGACAGAACGTTTGTGTTTCAGCAGGCCCCTGTCCAAAACATCCACACATAACACAAACAATACATCAGTCTGGGGTTTATTCAAGTGACCCTTTGGCAGTGACACACAAACCAAGCTGATCTCCAGCATCACATATACAATACAGCTATAAAAATTAAAACCGCGGGGCCCAGCAAGCCGGATTAATGTCAATCTCGCGCATGACCCGCATACATTCGTAAGAGTTGTTGCGCCCGGCTGACCCCCAAACATCCGCTTGACTAAAGACATACGCCGGGGACAGCGCGCGCCGCACGGATTTGCCCCGTACTCCACACCGCCAGCTTAAGGCGCCCTTCGGCACGGATCAACCAGTCACGATGGGCTCTGACAGGAGGCTTGCATTATGAACGGCGCACTCGCCCCGCGCCGGGAGAACAGCCGCAGGTCGGCTGCCGACGCTGTTACCACATCACAGAGACATCGTTAAGCAATTGCGTAGCGGGCGAGGCGTATAAAACTCTGCGCAGAACACGCGCCATCAATCAGGCGAACGCCACACAATTCGCAGAAATCGACGCACAAGGTGCCGGACGAGTTGTGCCCCTGCAGCGAGCCGAGGAGCCCCCACACCCGGTGTTCTACACGTCAAAGTTAGACACCGTGAGGTGTTGGAGGTTATTCCGCGCTGGAACAAACGGCGAACCATTAGTGCAAGTACAGATTCAAAGAGCGGCACTCACGTTAAAGCAGCTGTGACTTTGTGCCGTCAACGGCACCTAACCAAAGGTGAAATCACAGCCGCGATTCACAAACATGCGCGTGACGACTTATAGCACGAGCGGTTTGCTCAACCATCTGATCGGAAGCACTATCCCCTGAGGGTGTTGTGGAGTCTCGGACTCCGGTGGCTCCTTTAGCGACAGACTTTGTGAGCGAATGTGCAAATATTGCATCTGACTTTCGTCTAAGCGGCACCGCTGCATATCTGAATCAAGATGAGCAAGCTGGCAACAAGTTGTGAACATACAAAACACTATAAAAGACAAAATCGGAAAAATTCAGTGCTTGCAATGTGCCAACCGCTAAATTAGAGTGCTGAACAGCGACAAAAAAAAACGCAAGCCCCTGACAGCATGCATACACATCTCACGTTCCACGCGCGCAAAGCCCAACAGAATAGGCGGGTTAGAGCCCACTAACGGGCCGAGCGTGCAGGTGGGCCTCGGATCTCTACATCTGATCACGCCGCGCGCCGCCGTCGCCGTCGAACTCACGGTCGAAGTAGGTGGTGTCGGTGGCGTCGTCGGGGCTGGGCACGAACGGACCGGGGCCTTCGAGCAGCCGGTCCCAGTCGAGCGGCGTCAGCAGGGCCATCTGCCGGACGCGCGCCAGCGCCGGCCGCGCCGCCGGCTCGAAGCACAGCAGCTCGTCCACGGCCGAGACGGCCGCGGCCGAGAGCGCCTCGCCGGCGTCCGGCCAAGGAATGTCTGCCGCGGGGCGGAGCGTGGTCAGGGCCGGGTCGGCGCCGCGGGGGTGGGGGACAGGGTACGGTCAGCGTTACGGCCGACAGGATGCTCAGACGTACGGCAGGCAGTGGGAGCGGACGGGTCGCGGGGAATGGTGAAACGATGGTTTAATGGGTCGTGAGCAGGCGAGGACGAGTTGGCTCGGACCTTCCCGCGTTCTCAGTGTTTGCACATAACCACCAGGTCCATACCTCTCTTGAGGATATTCTGGAAGACGGCCTCCGGCGTTTCGTCGTTAAATGGCGGGATGCCCGTCACAAACTCGAACAGACAGACGCCCAGCGCCCACCAGTCGACCGGGGGACCTGGAACACAATACCGACCCGTCAGGGCACGGCGGACGCGCCGGTGGACGCGAACAACCCACGTTAAACACCGTCTGAACGTACTTTTGTGTGGCAGCGTTACCTAGGAGAAGCAGAGGCGGCAGACAAACTAGGCTTTATGGGATAAGGCAACGAGAGCTTTATCGCCTAGACATGAGAGCGAACCACCCCTGCAACGGCGTATCCGGCCGAGTGAAAATGTGGTGCAACGAGACTGGATATGGCAGGAAAACCCTGGCGCAAGGTACTTCAGTTTTACCTGGATGTGAACGTAAGGGGACACCGTTCCTCAAATTACGTCGCACGAAGGCACAGGCTCCTATGCAACAACGGGTGCCCGTGTACGTGTGCATGCGACGTAGTTTTTTGCAGCGTATAGATGGCGCAGTGGGACGTTTTGATAGTGAGGAACGCGCCTCAGATTTCAAGTTGCTCTAGTACCACCTGCGCGTTCCCCCTCCGCACCGTGTCCGACTCGCAGCAGTACCTCGGGCGCCAGGAGGTGAGGCCTCCTCCGTGCCCTCCCCGCTCCCCATCCGTACCACGCCCGAGTCACAGCAGTAGCTCGGGCGTCAGGCGGTGAGGCCTCCCGCGTGTCCTCCCCACCTCCTCCGCAGCCTCTCCACCTCCCGTACCATGTCCGAGTCGCAGCAGCAGCTCGGGCGCCAGGTAGTCGGGCGTGCCGATGATGCGGGTCTCCTCTGAGCGGAGCCGGCCGCGCAGCACCGACTTGGGCGTGCGGAACGGAGTGCGCGGTGTCACCGGAGCCGGCTGCCGACGCACCGGCGGGCGCCGCGTCACGGTGGGGACGCGTGGCCTCGCGGTCAGCACGGCACACGACAGTCAGCCAACACACCGCGGAAAATCTGGACGAGCGTGGGCACGGAGCTGATATAGACGATGCACTGGATGCGGAACTTAACACACCAACAGCATGTGTGTGAGGCTCCTCAACCAAAGCGACATGATCGTCACGGCTTTCCAGGCGCTCAGGCACGACTCCCGCTCGGTCAGCGCGGCTGCACACGGCGCGCCGCACCAGGACGGCCCTGCCGCCGCCGCGCGCGTACCGTGGCGGGCGTGCTGCGGCAGACCCTCTCGAACGACACATCCATGGGCGAGCCGAGGCTGGCCGGGCGGCGGGCGGCCGGGCCGCGGCGCGGCGGCGTCTGCGCCAGCGAGTTGAAGCAGACGGTGCGCAGCGGCGGCCTGGCCGGCGCGGCCACGCGGCTCAGCTTGGCCGGCGCCGGGCCCGACAGCCGCACGCCGTTGAGCGCCGCCGTCAGCCCGGTGCTGCGCGGGCTGGCAGAGTCGGCGCGGCACCGCTTGGTCGGCCGGCCGGGCTCGGCGGTCGGCGGACGCGCCGGCTCGGGCGCGTGCTGGCGCGCCGGCTCGGCGGCCGTGCCTCGGGCGTCGACGTGAGCGGGTCCGGAGCGGCCGGCGACGGGCCGACCGCTGCCGGCGGCGCGGCGGGCCAACCGTCAACATGTAAGAACGGTCGTGCTTTATCCTGTAACTGGCTTACCAGGCGCACGAGGGCCGACGAAAAAGCTGACGAAACGCTTCCCTTAATAATTGGCATACCGTGCGCATTTTTGAACGATGAACTTGGTCTACAAGTACATCATACCACCGGCGTTTGTGCGGATACACGCGGCATCATATATCACGCTGAGCATGACTGAATATGCTCGACAAAAGCCATCAGAAATCCGAGCAAATTTATGTTATTCCTACACACGCCTTTGCCGTGTGCCCACAACATCGTCCAATCCATAGTTAATCCGTGTGAAACGACCACGGTGCTCATGTGGGCAGCTTTCGCGGCCGCTCGGGCGCGGCCGGCCGACTGACCGTCGTCGATGGCGGCGGCCACGCTCCGCAGGCGCGGGGTGAGGTGGGCGACGGGCGCCGCCAGACTGCCGGCGGCGCGCGCCCGGGCCGCCCGGCCGCAGTACGAGCCGCCCGCCTCCAGCGCCGAGTCGGCGCAGCTCAGCGAGCCGGCCAGCTCCATCGGGCTGCCGTCCGAGTTCTGCCCGGGCGCAGGCCGGGGCGTCGGTGACGGGTGATGGCACGGGGCGAGACCATTCGCCTCTGCTGCGCGCCAGTGTTGGCACGCTCGAGGGACGCGGAGGTGAAGCCTCTGATGCGGGGCCGGGCGGATAAGCTGTTGCAGCTCTGTGAGGAAGCAAGCAGGAGCACCGGGCCGACAGCGAGGTGGAGGTGGACAAGAGGAAATATGGGAAGGCAGGGATGGACCAAACACTTTCTGATAGTTGATAAAGGATGATAAATACCAAGTACACAATCGAAACAAGTCATGTCTAAAGCATCTTAAAACATCACACAACATACCGAGCTGAATGGCCAGAAGCACACATAAGACAGCGAGTTTGCACCAGATCACAGCCATATGTCTAAAAGCGTCTTATCATACTTCCCAAACCTCTTCATCGAAAGCCCAGACTGAAATCACATACGTATCGCGTAGGCAGCAGAGGCAGCGCTGCACATTTCCCTGAGTCGCACCCACGCGCCGGCCACCCCCTCCCCCTCCGTGGCCGTCGGCCGGAGCTCACGAAAGAGAGGTGCGAAGTGAGCGACAGCAGCTGGCCGGGCGTGCGCAGCAGGCTGCTGCGCACGACAGTGGGCGTGGCTCGCAGCAGGTCCGTCACTGAGATCTCTGTAACGGGGGCCGGCGAGCCGTCACACGGTCAGCAAACCACAGACCGGTGGGATGGGCACAAACGGAGGGCGCCTCAGACCGGCAGCGTGGGCACGGACGGACGAACAAGACGCTCGCCGGGCGGGATAAACACAACATACCGGTTTCATATCGCCGTTGCTGACCGATGAAGCGGCAGTCCGGAAACTCAAGTCCACAGAGGCAGTCACTCATTAAGTCCCCTCCCCCGCTCGCCCTGATTCCGCTGTTGATCACGGGACACGGCAGACAGCTGAGTGCCACGGGTCTGGTACACCGGTGGACGGTCGCGGAGGTCTCACCGCGGTGTGCGTTGATCTTGCTCAGGCCGAAGTCAGTCAGCTTGACGTGGCCCTGAGCCGTCAGCAGCATGTTGTCCGGCTTGATGTCCCGGTGAGTGATCCCGTGGCTGCCGGTGTCGGTCTCTGGTCAGCCGCTCCCACGGATGCCTGTGCAGCTTGCGTGCGAGTCAACGACCACCAGAAGCAAATGCCACAATAGCATCCGTGCAACAGCATGAGGTCAGCACAAAGACGAGGAACGCTCACCATGACTTTATACGACACCGCCTGTGACGGGGTGATGTACAACAACGGTTTCTTCCCAAGACGGCTATAGGCCTGATCAATGCACGGCACTGCAGGCTGGGATCAGCAGCGGCCATCGCCGGGCTTACGTGTGCAGGTAGTCCAGAGCCAGCGCCACCTCGGCCACGTAGAAAGCGGCCATCCGCTCCTCGAAGTAGCCGTACATGGCCAGCAGCGATTTCAGGTCTCCGCCAATCAAGTACTCCATCACCTGCGGACGACACAGACGCATATTTGCCGAACAAAGGCCTGATTACGCGGTCTGGTACTCATATATGTATGAGCGCACATGCCGTCCGGGCTCGATGACCAAAGCTATTTAGGGATCCGGAGCCTAAGCTACCTTACAAATAGCAAGATACACATGGTTGCATTAAAATTTCTTGAAACCACGAGTGCACCAGACCACAAGTGCACAACATGCATCAGACTGACGAGAGACATGGCACACTCAAAGAGTCACAGAAGTCCAGGAACGGCAAGTTGTCCATCTCACCAGATAGATGTTGTTTGCTGACTGCAAGGAGTAGAAGATCTGGACGCAGAACGGACTCCTCTGGAGGGCCAACGCATCCCGTTCTGTGACCACTGCCGGAGACGCAAGGTCAGCAAGGTCACCGAACGGCGACACAGCCTCAATATGTCTGCCACGCCAGAGGGTACATGGATCCAGAGGCAGGTAAAACACGTATGTAACCCGACTCACCCTGTTCCACCATGTTCTTGTTGATCATCTCAGGACTTCTTCACAGTTTTTATGGCGAACAGATGCTCCGGGTGGCCTTTCTTGCAGCCCAAGAAGACCTTCCCAAATGCCCCGCGACTGATGGGCTTCAATATCTCGAAATCCTCTATCGTGGGCTCCTGAAAACATACAGTTTCCAATCAGTTTGCAACAGCAACAGCTGAACCTCACATTATCTCTAACTGGAAAGTGCATGCAGGTAATAAAATGCCTGCAAATTGCTGGTTTGCTGCATGAAAAACCATACAAGGTGTGTAGTTTAGAAAGCTTCCAAAAACTGCAGCTTAGAAAAGTGCTTGGGCTGTGATGTACACAATGTTTTTTTCACAGAAGAGAGGACCAAGTCCATGTAATCAAGCAGTTGAAGACATGAAGGCTTTCAAACTTGATGCACAAAACAAGATTAATGCAATAACCTTACTATGGTTAATGTCAAGTAAAGCAATGCCAAATGGGATCAAGATCATATGATTTACATTTGTTGTAGTGTGATATGAAACAGGTGCAAGTGGGAAGGACTTCTTATTGCTAACAATGACTCCCAAATGACCACCAGTCACTATGGTTACAGTATGGGACATCCCATGATGATGATGATGATTTGGGGTTTTAGGGCGCATCGACTTGCTGTAGGTCATGCAGTGCCCATATGGGACATCCCATATATAGTTTCAAATTACATGAGTGCACATCTAAATGTTAATATCCTGGCATTGGTTGCTTTTCCTTAAAGACCATGTTAACTTACCTCATGCTGTGCAGCTTCCATTTCTTCAATCTCATCCATCTCTGGACATCTATAGTGATGCGAAAGACAGATGATCTTGCTCAAAAAGATGAAGACTTAGCTGAAGCTTAGGCCATAGCACCTTGACAGTGTTTCCATTGCTGCAGCATATGCATAGTTGTATCATTTTTACACAAATGTGTATTAGCTGCTAAAATGTGAATGAGCAATGAACTATTGGAATGCATGAGAAAACCAAGTGGTCAGTAAGTAGTATATCTGTACCTCTCAGGCATGATTAAATACCAATGTTCTTTTGTCAAATATTTCCCACCATGCTGAGAATGTATGCATGAAACCCCCTATTTAAAGAAAAACTTACAAACCCTGATGAAGTTTTCCAGCACCTGCTACTAGCTAATTAATAAAACCATCTGAATGTACTCCACTATAAATGAAGCTCACCATTTCCATGCTTGCAATTTTTGTTGTCTAAATTATATCCATCTTGCATCTGCAATTTCATTTTACATAGGCCACATTTTTCCATGAATTATGCTTTGCAATTAGGGATTGACCATTTGATGTTATAAAAAAGGCATGTGTTGCCAAAAACATGCCCAACCAAAAAACATGGGCTGTGTGCATGATAAGGGCACACAAGCTACATTAATGCATCAATGTATACCAAAACACCACTTGCAACTATATCTACAAAATATTCCTGTGAAACCAAAAAGCATCAGACAAGACAACAACATAGGTGTCATCATTATCTCTGAAAAATGCACATGACATGATTGCACTGCCACCATGAGAAGATTATCGCAATCCTAACAAACAATTTCTGGGGTTTGCCAGCAATCTCCTGTGCAGACATTCAGGTGGATGAACACCTAGGCACTTGCAGGCTACTTTTAGAGACTTGGATGTAACCAGATATCTGAGACAGGGAGAAGCAAATCAGGACTGGATGGGTCAAACTGGACTTTGGAGGTCAAACATGATTTGAAACTTATGCTTTCATTGTTAAAAAGCATACAAATCTCATTATGAGAAAACTGGGGGGCTCCCCAGTCCCCTTGCTCCAGCAATAACACCCATGTGGTGGGTCCAAACAATCCAAGGGCAACGAGCAGTAGGTCCCAGGGGGCAGCTTTAGTGAAGAAGGCATATTTGAGGAGTTCAGCAGGGGAAAATGGCAAAAAATACACCCAAAACACACTAAAAAGGGGTTTCTATCCGGATTTGACACACTCCTCACAAAGTTGGCGGGGGCCAAATGGATAGGAAGCTTCTCCTACAATCGCGCACAGACTATCGCGACAGCGAACCAAGACGAAGTAATCCGTCCTGCACAAATTAAGGAGCGACTTGGAAAAGCCCTTCTTGCCGTATCACTTGAGGCTGGAATGTAGAACTGCTTGCCTGCTGAGTGACGATCACATCCAACGTGCCATCCCCGTTGCAACGATTCAAACTTTACGCCAGATGCGCTAAATTTGCCGAAAGTGGGCCAGAATGGCAAGCGTCAGCTGATCCGCCATTCGTTTGTTTTGATCCTGGAATGTCTTTTTTTGTCTTCCTTGTAGGCCATTCGGATACATCTTAAACCGTCGTCCGAAAAAAAAATGCACCGGAATCCATTCCAATCTAGATCTTGGACAACGCACAGCACGGTGAGACGGGTTCCGCCTGTCAGGGCCCAGTTCCCAGCAGCAAAACACCCACCGCTGCTACCTGTCTATGACGTCACAAGTGCTGCGTCATACACGAGCATTGACCTACACATACACAAGCGACTCATGCCCTATGGACTGCTGTGAAGCCCTTGCCTGGAACGTCTTATGTTGCCATTTGTGGACGGCGTTCGCCATGGGGAACGCTACCCAGATGGGTCGGGGCGGGTATGAGTGGGGTAGTACAGGCTGGACCAGACCAGACCAGACCAGACCAGACCAGACCAGACCAGACCAGACCAGACCGGACCGGACCGGACCGGACCGGACCGGACCGGACCGGACCGGACGCACCGCACATGACTGGACGGGACGGAACAGGATAGATGGGACAGGCAGGACTTCTTTGCTTATTTAATCGGATTATTACCGTCGAAAATAGTGCATTTGGTAGTTATGCTACAGCAACTAGGTTCGCCATAAGGTAGGCGTAACGTTTTTCGAGTTCAATTGCCAGACAATTTGATAGAATGCCTGATCATCTGACATCAGCTGAACTGACTCAGTGCAAATTAAGCTATCTGAGATTTTGCATAACTTGATCCACCATTTAAAACATCTTTTTAAAACTAACATCATTCGCCGCCTAATTCTTAACGATCCAGTGAATTTGCGTCCGGCCTTTTTTCCAGTGCATCGGTCAGCGTCAGGTATCTTCGAAAAAAATTATTGTTATTCGGCATTGGCCACCAGCTTTCTTGTGGTTCCTGATGCAGACTCTGTCCTTTGTCATGAAGTTTCTGAACGCATTAAGTTCCTACGTGGGAGTATTTTGCAGCGCCAATCATCATGATTAATTAACAAATGCATATTTCATCGCCCTTTCCTCTGGCCCAGGCGGCGCAACGTTACGCTCAGGTGTACCTACAAACATTGGCGTAAGGACGTCTCAAAAAGTGGGGGTGCCAATGTCCGTTTTGGAGTCGATTCTTTCCTTCCATTGTCATAGAGTTAATGATTAACATTCTCGGAAAGCGGGGGTGCCACGACACTAGCGGAGCCGCTGTTCCAGCGTCTGGCTACAAGTCATGTTCAAGTCATCAAAAATAGAGCCCTGGAAACAAAACCTTTCATTGTCTCAAAAACTTAGTCGGTTGGAGCGTGTCCTCCCACTCACCCATCCGTGGCGGAGTGGGCTCGAGTCGCTGTTTGCTCCCGACTGAGATGCCCTGCGGCCCGTGGCATTGGCGACGCTCAAGGGCAAGTGACGTCAGAGGACAGGATGGATCGTACCCGACATTAAGTCACATAAAATTTTCGCCGTAGAATTTTACCAGTTGGCGATTGGATGATGTAGGCATAGCTCATGCAACGAGTACTGCTTAGTGTGGGCTCTGATGCTAGAAGTCTGCCTAATGAGAGGGTTTTACGGTTTTAGTAAGATGTTTTATATCAACTTTATGATAAGATCGGGTTCAAACCTTTTGAATCAATGGATTTCTGGGATAAGCGCACGCGCTCAGCGGTGCTTTGTCGCATGAGCATTGATCCTGATCCGATCGCGGAATTCCAGGTCAGCGATATATTTTGCGGCGATGTTTTGCTCAACGCTCGGCGCGGTCCCCCCTGTCCCCTGACGTCACTGACCCATGGTGCGGCGACTGCCATCGGCCGCAGGCCATCGTAGCCAGGGGCAAACAGGGAGTGCCCGAGGCAACTCGAACCCAGCCCACCGCGAGTCGACGAATCGGAAGATATGCGCTCTTTAACCAAATGAGCTATCAGAACGGACAACACGGACCTCCTCTCATGACGAGCAGCACACTCGTAAGCTGTTACGTATCAGTTGTGGTCAAATTGTCAAATCCAATCAAATAAGACAATAAACAAGTGGTCAAATTGTCAAATCCAATCAAATAAAGAAAATAAACAAGTGGTCAAATTCCAAAAAAGATGCCATTTTCGGAATGTTACACTTAACACAGCATAGTGAGGGGAGAGCGTGTTCTAGCCCAGTGTAACCAGTGCGTAACCAGGGGAATTGAGAAATGGGTAACTATGCCTAAAGGAATGTATGGAGAATGCGATGCACGTGGAGAGCTCACAGCGCACGGTCCACGAATGCCAGCTGCCGCGCTTCCTCAGTGTCAAATGCGAGGACTTTTCAAGGACTTCAGTAGCGATCCCATAGTACAATGATTTCTTCATTCAATAGATTCTGTTTCAAAATATTTGGAACGAAAAACAGTGCATTTTTTTCTCGCAAATCCTGCTTAACATGGAAGTGCCACCAGACTCCAAGTTTTGAGGGGGTGCAAATTTTTCTCATTTCCCTCACATGACAGTGGTGCCTTCCGCGAAGATTAGCGTACACATTCGTGGTGGGGGCACTTGCCTGATTCCGTCTCACGAATCCAAACAAGGCATGTTCTTAACTGGGAGGCAGCATAACCCGCTTCCATCGCAAACTTTGCTTCAACTGTGCTCATGGGCACTCTTTTAGGAAGGGGGTCTATTTTTATCACGAAATTCCCTCATCACAGGGGCACCTCCCATGTACAGGGAGATTGTTCGCACGTGCTCGCCCCTTGGACACCTGACCTAGGGCGTTGTGAAAGGTAACGAACTGTGTAGATGTATTGAAAAACACCCGAAATTCGTCTTCATCTTTCCACGGGCTTACTATAGCGCCCTTTACGAAGTCAGCGTACCTGCTTGTCGTTACGATCTCACTTTACCTTACAGCTGTGTTCGCTTTCAACGTGCATCCCGCGCCAGGTGGTGTGTTCTTTGTGGAGAACAAATTATGGCCGCTGGATTTCCTCCAGTCGGGTTCTCAGGCCAGGTCATCTGGCCCCAGTCAATAATATTTTGATATTGCATAAATCTGGGCGTCGGTTTCACATCTCAAGTTCCATGGTTTTTTTTCCGCGGAATACCTCAATATTACAGAGAAGCTGTCTCATAAAGAAGCCGTTTATTTTCTCAAGATGTTTCCGGAGATGCACATAACCAACGCAGTTGATACGCCTAAAATCACGAATATGCCTGCATACTCAGTTCTCGTTTATTTGCGGGCAACCGTTAATGAAGAGGGTAGACACTTAATTTTAGCCGTAATTTTCCGTTGTAATCACGGGTGACGTGCTCTGAAGCACATTTTATTCGCGAAAGAAGAGAGAAGGATCTGCTTTTTTGTGCCACACTCCACCCCTTGCTTGGCTCTGTGGAACAGCTAGCTCCTCGCTGTGCCATGAATGGTAATCCTGCTTTTCACGCTTGCTGGAGAGGCCTGTGCAGCCATGCACCGGAGACATGGCGTCTAAAGGTTCTGAGAGGTTCACATTTGCACCAGCTAGTTGCGCTCGCGGAGGCTCTTGTTGGCGTTCTCTGAGTCCCTGTCTGCTTTAGAATTTAGGCGTCATTGAAACACTTTTGCCTCTTTATATCATCACTCTTTCACTATCACCGTATGCTCCATTATCATCAGCACTGTTTGGAAACCTCGCTGCGCTTGAAAACCACTCGGTTTGCTGTAGGTGAAAGGCTCGCTTCCAGACGAGTCCTCATGGCCAGTTTTATGAAGTCTGCTCAACAATCCTTGGGGCCTCGGTGGCTCGGCCATGCAGTGGTCCTTCGGATCCCCACGGGTTTCGCCGACTGTCTTAAAGGGTGCCTCGAACAATGATGGGCCGGCCGCCAATTCAGATGTCTTGCAATCCGTGTACGCTTTGGCTGTATCGGGTCTGTGATCTATTGTTAGGGTAACTTGGTCGTCTCGTAGCTCTGATCGGTTAGACCACAGACGCAACCAAGGGAGGAGGGCGCTTAAGTCAAGAAAATCCATTCTCACTGAGCTCCCTCTCTTACTCAAAAATACTTCCTGGACCCCTGGGCTAGACACTGGTATTAGGATGGCTATCACCTGTACTTTCTACAAATGTCCTTGGCTTCTCCGGGCTCCTCTTCGCCCAACGGGACGATTGCTCCGCGATTTCTCCGGGTCTGTAGGTTCTCTCCGAGTATCCCAAGCGCTTGGAGACCATAGACGCCAGAGGCCTGTTGACGGGTTTACGGGACGGGTCTCTGATCGCTTCAGGACCCTGAGCGCCTCAGAACCCCTTGCCATCCTCTGGGAAACATGCCGTTTCGATATGATGCGTGAAAACGCGCCGGCGTCTGACAGCGTCAGCGGTAGTATTGAAGGACAAACTTTCTGCGTTTTCCAGATGTCAAAACTATAGGATGCTAAAAACTATTTCAAAGCTATTAGGTAAGTTTACCCATCTAGAAACTTGATTTTTGTCGTTGTGTAGAAGTGTCCAAAGAATTAAATGAAATCGAGCCTTGTTTGTGGGCACGATGATTACGTTGAACTCAGTTAAGCTTCATTGGTCGTAAGACCACATTGAAGTGAGAAAACAGTGGCGATGTTTGTCATTCCAATGTATTGATGGAAGCGGTATGATTCGTTTTATTTCTTGCCCTTCTTTCCTTTCTTCTTCCCAGCACCGTGCCATTTAAACCCTCGGTAATGCAGGAAGTCGGCTACATCATGACAGATGTAATAGGCGTTTTCCATGGCCACGGCACTGTATGCATCGGCTTTAACTGAAACGAGAAAAACAATGCATGAACAGCATAAACAGCAGGACGCGAGCTTATGCGAGCCGCGCAAACGGCAAATTAGAATAAACGAGTGCATGGTTAGGCCGACGAATGTATGCATGAAAAGCTGTTGTTGGTCCTATGTACTGCCGTTGGTCCACGAGAAGAGTCATGCAGCTGTTCAGCGATAAAATGGTGACCGCATGACATATTATTTCATGGCCGCATGAGATTAACTTAAGAAGCGAGAATTCCGAAAAAGTGACGAGTGCCAATGGCGTGTGAAGAAGCTATTCATTGATTAAATCTTCATGATCGACCAACGTGTAACACTCAAATCTTATGCCCAATTCACCAGCCAATCTACCATTTCCACAAACGGCGTTACATTTGGGATTAATTTTGATATACTCCCTGGCGGGCCATATAAATCGTGCCCTATACAACATATATTACATATGGAGACTTTTACTGCTTCCTAAATTGATGCTCCTTCCATTAGCCAGCCACGGTCCATTTGGAATGACCTTTCGCTAAAATACCATCCAAGCCTCATCCATATTTGTTGAAAATTGTGTTCTTCAGCTGAGTCAAATTCACTGATGGATTAACCGCCGACCCAAGGACTTTTGGACACATAAAGTTATGGATCCGTGTAATCAATGCATGGCTCTATCCAGCCCTTCAATATTCCCACGTACATGAGCGTAGGTCTGATGCAGACGTGTGCCTCGGTGAAAAGCGTGGTCCTGGATCCCATGCAAGCCCTGCATTACACAATCCCAACCCTTGGTCTTAGACTGCAGATTTGTGACGCACTTACTGGTTTGCTCCTATTTCCACGCATGAAGACTTTTGATCAGTTTCCACGACTTATGGGACAAATTCAGTACTTTATGCTTGTCAACCGCACTTCAAAGCTGATCGTTACATAATAACTTCTGGCATGAGATGACCATGTGTTAAACAAAACGAAATGCTGCCATATTCACACTAATACGCACGCCTTCATCTATTTTGCACCTTGAACAAAGACTTACTAAAAAAAGTCATGCAACCCACCGCATGTGATGCGGCAATTTAAGTCCTCGCCGACGTTATAAAAAAATCCCCTTTGCTCACCTTTCTCTTTCTTCTCCTTTTTTCCTTTTCGCCCTTTGTGCTTTGGTTTCTTTTCCTTTTTCTCCTTTGGCGCCTTATTTTTTCCTTTGCCCCCCTTCGAAAAAAGACAGAGGCAGTTATCGGACTAAGTTGCTCTTAGATGGGGTTGGGTCTTTGCGTCTCTGTGATAAGGTACGCTTTGAGGGTGAACCAGACGTGGATCCAGTATTCAACAAAACTCAGAACTACAGATGGAGCAGACAAAGACTTCAAACATCAAACATCAAACCCTTCAAACATGAAACCCTCATATCATTTCAATGGCACACATACAATAGCATCCGCTAAATGATGCATATCGTGAGTACATCTCTAATTTAGTTAATTATTTGTCCTTCTAATGAGCTGATTAACGAGGTAAAATTATATGAGTGTTAATAGATTACAACTTTTTTATAATCTCACGTACCTTTTTGCCGGCCATTGCTTCGCGATTTATCACAGCTCTTACCAATCACGAACAGTCTGAAACAACCCAGTGAGTAAACCTGCGGTTTAAGGCTCCATGCCAGTAAACAAATTAACCAACACAGCGCTCAACTTCTCGAAATTTTTTCCTGCAGCAGCTTTACGGTGATACTGTCACAAGTGATAGAAAAGTGAGGTCACATCTCAAAAAAGGGATACGTAGGCGAATATCCCGGCTGGGTTCCTGCTTTCAATGAATACGAAGCTGAAGAACATGCAGTTGGTGGATAGTATTTTTATCTATGTACACCAGATAACTCACCTTGAGATTAATCATATGAACACCGGCGCCATATAATGAATGGTGTAGCTCTGATGCTCATAATTTGGAGCGCTGGCGAAATTGCTAAATATATGAGATCCCTCGAGTTCTAAATGTTAACTGATTGTTTTGCCTTGTGTCTTCGTACTGAAGTTGCGTAGAAGCTGCACCTTTCAAAATGTCCGAATATGTCTATATCTAATTCCCATTCCCATGCCCGAAATTGTGTCGATTAAGCCATTCCCCAATTTTGTTGGCTCTAAAGGAATTTAAAGTCAAGTAAAATCAGTCATAGCTCAATTTATTTTCTGTAGGTGTGACGCGAAGAACGTGCCAATGATGAGCACTGGTCCTTTTTAATTGCCGAAAACTAAGAGACCGTCCTTGGCGCCTGTTCCCAATTGCGTCGTCGTTGGTGGCTTCGGTGACTTTTTGATTCCATATCCCATATTTCCTTATCGTCTTTCAGGCCCCAAGAGGACTCATAATTTTTTAAAGCGTTTCTGAGCCCTGCATCTCCCTCCCTCCCCATGTGTGCCTCCCTGGACGCACTCTCCGGACGAACGCGAAAATGGATACCGCATCGCAACACTACATAAACTGTAACGAGTGGTTGAAAGAAACCCTCCCGTCCGCCAAGCGTAATGTCAATCTCACCTCCAGTGTCAGCGGCTCATACTGCGATCGCAGTGTCGCGCTCTGGAAGTGCATGCATAAGAACATTTTCACAGTCAGGTTTTGCTGATCTGACCGCGGTTGGTGACGCGAACAGCAATGCCTTCTCACTTTAGAGCCTATCAGTGAAAAGTTACCTCCCCCGGACACCACATGGAGTTCCGAATTGAACATTGATCACACACGGCGCCCATTCACGGCGATATTGATAAAAAGCGGTGCTGTGAAAGACCAACGAACCCCGTATTGTTTTATCAATAGTGTTTAGATTAGTCAGAATAAGCGAGCAATATGGCCTAGCGAGCTTCCTATGGTTGCAAAAAGATATCTCACAACTAGACGCAATCGGCTTAACGCTGGGGTTACGTCTCGCGCAAACACTCTGGAGGGCCCGGGCTATGGTATTAATGCTAGCTGGGCATCCCTGGGACCCTGTTCAATCCACATTCTTATCGCGCTCTTGTGAGCGAGTGACCACACAAACTGACTTCCGGTCTCGAACGCGACATACAAATACGAAGTCCGCCGTTTGCCAGGTCAAGTCCTGGCTAGAGCGAAGCCATGCAGGTACCGGTCCATACATTCCGGCTGCTTGGCCCATCCCGGATCAATATTACCTGCGCGGCCGGTGCAGCAGGTCACAACACAGCCGTCGTGGGGCAGCCGGCCAGCTGAAACGTCAACACACGGCGTCGCACAGTCGTCATGGCAACGGGTCGGCCGACGGCATGCACGTGGACCGGCAGCGCCGCGCCCGCGCGCCGGGCGCGAGGACCGTGCGCCAGGCGCCAGGACCGCGCGCCAGGCGCCAGGCGCCATGCAGCCGCACCGCAGCGGGTACGAGGGCATCCTCAACATCCTGCACATCTGCATGGTGATCCTGGTGTCTCTCTTCTTCCTGCTCACGCTGCTCTGCCTGTGGAACATTTGCCGTCTGGTCCGTGAGATTGTCGTCGGGTGGTGGTCACATCGATCCGCCGCCAAGGAAACGACCGAAACACAGTCCGAGGCCGACGACGGAACGGCCAAGCCCAAGCAGGACTGAGGCGGACGGCGTGGTCCCCTTCCGCGCGGTTGTCCGTCGCCCCACGTGGTTGAGCGCGCCGGACCTGTGACTAGCCTCCCCTGCCACCTGTCAGTGGTGTGAGCCTGTGAGGAGCGCTCGCGGGTCATGGGTCGCATCCCGCTGCTGCTGCTGCTGCTGCTGGCGGCGGGCCGCGCGCAGCAGCGTTGCTCCTCGGACGTGGACTGCCACCAGCACGGCTTCTGCGACCTGGTGAAGAGCGGGCGGTGCCGGTGCGCGGCCGGCTTCACGGCCTGGTTCGACGGCTGCCTGCCGCGCCGCGGCCTCGACGAGCCGTGCCAGGTGAGCGCGCAGTGCCGCGCGGCGCTGGAGCATGCCGTCTGCCTGCCGCAGCGGCGTGTCTGCGGCTGCGGCGAGGGCTACCGGCGCGACGGGTCGCGCTGTCTGTTCCAGTTCGCCGTCAGCACGCCGCCGCCACCCGCCGGGGACGAGGCTGACGGGCTGGCCAAGCTGCTCGGGGTCTCGCGCCTCGACAGCCGCCGCGAGCGCGACGAGCACCGGCGCTCGTTCGTGCGCGGTCTGGCCGTCACCGGCGTGCTCGTGGGCCTAACGCTGATCGTGTTCGTGGCGGCCGGGATCGTGTCGCGCCGCGTGCGCCAGCGCGAGCAGCGCGAGGCGGCCGCCCTGCCGGAGAAGTATGCGCTGCCGCCGGTCGATGCTGCGCCGCCCCCGTACAGCGTGGCTCTGTCCGAGGGCGAGGTGGCGGCGGCGGCGGCTTACGCCCAAGCTGGCATGCTGTCGTAAGGAGGGTGCTCTGGCCCCGGGCTCGCGCTGCTTAAACCGTGTGATCTGTCGCCTAGGTTGGTGCTCGTGTGAGTTGTGCGTTCCGGTTCAAATTGGTACTGTTTGGCCAGTCCATGTGTTCGCCAGGTTCGGTAGGATTTACGGGATTGCCAGTGATTCTCTCTCATCACGTACCAGTGCTGCAGGATTCAACTCGCCTGCAGGTAATGACCGAGCTTTCCCCGTGTGAGACACCAATGAGGCTATGAGAGATGAAATCCCATATTTTCTTTGTCAGACTGTTCGAGGGGATCCAGAACGCCCGAATTGGGGGGAAATAAAAAAGCTGTTCTGCTTTACAAAACATTCGTCGAATTGGCATCATTTTTTCCCAGTGTTCTAAAGCAGACTTTTATTTGTCAAAGCTTTAAGATTTTCTCCAAAGTCCCCCCCCCCCTCCCTTAGATCCAGTGGTGCAACAAGCATGTCGCCAAGTATGGATCCAGACGGGATCAAGGCGGGTCATTTCAGTCTTTTTCGCTACAGGAACCCTGTTTTTTTCAAATGAGCGTTTTAGGATCGGAATCCTATGTTCATGCCGAGCGACCCGTTTTTTTAAGCTATGCGACAGGCGTCTTAAAATGCCAAACAAATTATGAGACATTCACCAGAGGAGGAGGAAGATAGGTGACGCCAAGATCTTTCCTTGGCCACGCCGCTGGTTGTATATGCCCTTGAGATCATTCTCTTACCGAATTAGTCAGAAATCCGCGTCACGAACATTTTTCAAATTGTCTTTTTCTTGGTTTCCGTTTAATTAAGCACATGGTGCAGGACCGATATCATCTGCTGGTGCGTTGCAAAAGCCGAGAAGTCGATTATTTCACATTATATCTCCTGACGTTATTGGCGTTGTTTCACATTCCCTCACGACTTGCTGCATGTATCATGTACTTTGATGATAGCTATTGAGTACACTGTTTGGTGTTAATGAAACGGCGATAAGAACATCAAAACAGCAAATGATAAGCACCTTGACCATTTTTCATCTGCGGGTTGCAGTGCCTTTCTGTCAATATGACTGCGTATTCATAGCCCGCGTTTGTTTATGAAAACAGCGGTAGGCGCCTGTCTAGTTTTGCACGCATCTAATAGGAAAATAAACTGACGCTTCTACATCACGTGTGTCGTATTTATCTTCCGTGGAAACGCATGCCGGTCGTCATACAAATCACAGATAATCCTATTTGGTTTCAACTGACACATGCATGACACAAACAGCCGTGATATCATGCGCTTCTGAGACCCCGCTTCACATTTTGGAAGCATTGCTGTGGGTACGAACACCAACACACATTTTAACGCAAGCTCCTGCTCACCACTCGCACGATGCGCTAGAGCGACCAGGATTCTAGTGAAAGACCAAGTCAGTCAGCAATTTGAGTGGGTCTTGATCACTGAGCCACAAGTGACGTCACACTGCACCCACAGCGAGCCGCGGCCAACGGCACGCGTCGGGAGCGCGTCCGCGCGAGCCAGGCCGCTACTTTAGTCCGGAGCCCACGCAAACGGACGGGATGTAGCCCTCGCGGCCGAGCACGTCCTTCACCCAGAACCAATCGCCGACGGACGTGTTCAGCAGTATCACAATGTCGCCGCGCTTCACCGTCAGCGTGTTCCGTCCGCAGCTCACGAAGCCGTCCCAGATCACCGCCTTGTTGTTGCTGCGCGGCGCCACCAGGCGGCCGCGCGGCGGCGCTTCCGCCTGCCCGCGCGGCGGCGCCACCTCCGCACGCCGCCGCGGCTCGGGCGACGCGTCGAGCCGCGGCGGCTGGAAGGCGCTGTGCCGGGAGCGAGTCAGATCGGCGGGGCGCGCGTCGCGGCCGCCGGGGGCCGACTGGTCGCGACGCGGTGGGCTGCGGCGGCGGCCCGGCTCCCGCCCCGTCGAGTGGCTGCGCGCCCCCTGGCGGCCGCGCGCTCGCTCCCGGCGCAGGTGCAGTTCCACTAGCAGCCCGAGTGCGCGGCCGTCGCTCGTCACGTTCTCGTACAGCTTCTCCGAGTCGGTCTTATTGACGCGGACGTCGAGCGCGTGCCGGTCGCCGTCCGGCGGCGGCGGGCTGCGGGCTCCGGCCGCCAGGGGGCGCGACAGGTACAAGTCCCCGGCAACCTCCCAGGCGGCTGAGCCGCGCGGGATGACACCCAGAGGCGTGCACGCGCTGTAGGCCAGGTAGCCCTCCTGGCTGTGCGGTGTCTGCACGTATAGCCACTGGCGGTGCTTGAAAAGCGCGTTTACAACGAGACCTAAGTGGATAGGCACGGTGGGCTCCTCGGGCGTGGCCGCCGGTGTCAGCACGTACAGCTCGGTCCGACTCGTCACCACCATCGGGATGTTGGCTGGCGTGCGCGCCGTCGCCTGCGAGAGGAAGTTGTTAATGTCGTCGATGTCGTACCCGAAAACCGGAGGCGATGGAAGCTTTTTCCTCCGGGATCGAGAAACGTGTGGGACGTTCTCCTTGTCGGCCTCCAGCGCCCCCTGATGAACTTGGCTATCACCATCTGCGTGCCCACTGGACCGCTTACTCTGACTGGAAGCGTTCTCTCGCTTGGCCACGGCTTTGGCGGCAGGCATTTTAGCACTCTTCAGTGCGTCAGTTCTCATTTTCACGCCCCTGCCGATCGGTCGTCTGCTGGCGGAGCACGTCGAGCGCTTTCCGACGACAGCTGGTGTATGCAGCTCTCCGGCAACGTGAAGCGCGGCGTGGTTCAGCTTGGCGCCGCTAGGGGCACTGAGATCGCTCTCGCCGCACGAAGAGGCGCAGCTGTCGATGTTTGCGTATTCGGGGCTATCGGGTGCCGCCTTGGGGAGCATCAGCACATAGTCGCTCTCACTGGTGTTGGCCGGCGCTGGCGCCGGCGCCGGGGACGGCGGTTCAACTCCCGCGCCAAAGATCTGGCGCCATCGCTCGGTCGCCACACAGCTGCTGCCACCTGCCGGCGCCCAGCCGGGGTCAGCCGGAGAACAGGTGCTGCCAGCTGTTAACGCCCCGCTCGGCTCGGGCGGCGGGCACGTATGGTGTTCTGTGGACGGCCGGCTCGGCTCGGCCGGGGGACATATGCTGCCGCCTCTATTTGCTCCACTAGGCTTGGGCTCCGCACAGGCGTTGTTATCTGCTTCTTCGGGCTCGGGTGGGGGACACGTGCTGCCCCCTGTGCGCGTCAAGCCGGGCTCAGCAGCCGTGGGGTGAGGCCTGGCTTTCTTGCGGACCGCACAGGGTACCAAGTCCGGCAGAAACCCCTCGCCCGACGGCGCGCCATCATTGTCCCCGGTCTAGAACAGATGACGCCAAAGTGAGGTTAGAGCATAGAGCATATGCACACACACACACACACACACACACACACATATATATATATATATATATATATATATATATATATATATATATATATATATATATATATATATATATATATATATATATATATATATATATATCGTAAGCTTTGGTCGATACGCACGAAGCCAGCGGTAATCAGTGAAATGACAGAAGATAGCACAGCATAAGTACATGTCGCCATTTTTGTTGCGAGCATCCACTTCGTGAAATAAAGCACTTCACTTCAAAAGGAGCACCCCAAGCTCGGATCATATTACGGGACTCAGAATAACAAATGTGGTGCCTTCTTTGGCAAGCATAAGGGTTTGGCCTTCTCATATCTACTTGCATGTGATGTAACACGTTCCATGACTCGTTCCAATGTAATATTAACCGGACACATTGCTTTTAAACGCAAGCTTTTGCAGGAGAAAACATGGCGTACCAGCTAGCTGACGACCTCGGAAAACGCACCGATCTCATTCGTAGCTATCAATGGCAGAGAGGGCTCGTTTCTAATAACGAAGCGAATTGCATTGGCATGAGGTGTTGTAACATAGATGAAAACGCTGCAATGTGCCATGTTCGTAATGTCATAGGAATGGTGGCGATCCGTTAGTGACCCCTACGCTGCGCTGGGTCGTGAGAAAGAATACGAAATCGCTCATCAAACCAGCTTTGTATTTACCTATTCACGACGTGCTTACACTGCTAACGTCCTCACCCACCCGGGACCGTTTCCTTGATGAGGCACAGATGATGTTCGTGCCCAATCCTCCCAATCAATACCAATCATCCGCTCTCATGCCGGCTGCCACGACTCCGCCGCGCACGAACGCGGCGCTCTAAGACGAACTGGCATGCACTCGCCAGCGCCGGTCAGCGACCTGAGCTGGAGAGCACGGTCGCCGCACGGCCCGACCCGTGACCCGAGCGGGTGGCATGTGACCCGACTAACCTGGGCGAGGCCCGTCGTGCTGCGGCTGTCCTGGCCAGCTCCTGCGCGGGCCTCCCCCTGCTTCCTGACGCCGCCGGCCGCCGGCCCGAGCAACCCTGCGGCGACGACAGGGGTTCGTCAGGGCGTCACGGCGGCGGAACGGGGCCGCGGCGGTGAGCGCTGCGGCGGCGCCGGCCGGCGGCGGGCGAGACAGGCGGCGGCGGACACCGGCGCTGCTGCGGTCACCCCGGCTGCAAGGCTGCACGGAGCTGGTGAGGCGGTCGGGCGAGTCTCGCCGTAACTCGGAGGTGTTGTTGACATAGGCTGGACGTGACACAGGCTGGGTTTGCGGTCGGGTGAGCATGGCCGCGGGGGCCGTGTTGGCGATAGGGACTAGGGACAGTCTGTAGCCTCAGCTGGGGCACAGTGGTGGCCAAGGACAATATTTTATGGTGATAAAGGTCGCGCTGCCCTGGTGGACAGCACACGTAGTTTGAGTCCGGCCGGATTCGGATTCGGACTCGGACCCGGACGCGCACTTGGACTCGGACTCGGACTCGGATTCGGACTCAGGATCGTTATAGAATAGAATCTAGAGTTGGGACACATATGTGCCCATATATTTTACAGATGAATTCCCCACAAACTCGGACACATCTGTTTGACAAAAATGCACGGGCTCGGACGCAGAGAAAGAATTGAAAGCAAAAGTGCCAGGGCTCGGGGCCAGATGTAAAAGGTTCTAGAAATATGCACATCGCATTGGACGTATTTTCATGCAGTCTCCAACGATGGTTGGGAGGAAATTATAGTTGAATAGAAAACGCGTGCTGTGGAAGAAAAAGTTGGATATAGATCCCATGAGTGGCTATCCCCGTAGAGGACGTATGGCGCGGATGGAGTGACTTCGTTTTATTTTTATTTTCGTTAATTTTGGTTGATGTGGTTGGGTTTGGGCAGTGTGAGTTAGTTTGAGGTAAGTAGCGCGTCTTTACTATGACTCACTTAACCTCGTTAAGGCTCGACAAGGGGGCACAATGGCCGAGCGGTTAGTGCCTTCGGCTTCCACGTCGGGGCCGGGCTCAAAACCCGGTTGCGCCAAAGCCCTTGGGCGTTAATATGGCCTCTGCAGCCGTTGGCGCTCCATAAAGGGTGTGCGACGACGTGCGCTACGTTTGCTGTCCTTTTTCAAAAGCTCCGCGACTTCGACTCAGATCTAAAGCAGAAGTTTGATTAGTTTGAGGTTAGTTTAAGTGGAGGTATCTGTAAATTCAACCCGTTGCAATAGTTTTGGTCGGGGAACCCTTTACCGACACCACCTGCTGTGAAACTTTGCTGGTCTTGTGCTTTACCGTAAACGACGTGGACCCGGAGTCAAGACTTTGGATTCAGGCACAACCTCGAACTAAGATTCAATTTCCAGGAAAACGGATTTGTCCTCAGACTTAATCTCCAGTCAGGCAAACTTGGAGTCTGGCTCAATCTCCAGGGGACACCGACTCGTACTCAGATTCACCCTCCAGGGACACGAATTTCGGAGTCAGACTTGATCTCACGGGACAAGAATTTCGGAGTCAGACTCGATCCCCAGGGACACGGATTCGGAGTCAGACTCGATCTCCAGGGCCACGAATTCGGGCGTGATCTGATGCGCCCTGAGAGCATTGGACTTGGGCCCGGACATGTGACCGCGACAAGGGCAGACTCGAGCCCTGAATCCGTCCCCAGACACCAGAACTCGGACACGAACTCATGAGCTTGAACCAGTGTCTGGCGGGCAGTAGCAATAGACAGCCTCCTTTCGATGACATAAATCAGGCTTTGAGTGGCTCGACTCCAGCCGGTGAGGCACGCCATCCCTCACGATGGTCTCTGTGAGTCCCCTGAGCGATGCGCGGGCGAATGTTGGCTAACTCGATACTCACGGCCACCGTCTCAAACCGACTTTCAGTCATCACAAACGCCGGAGACCCGTAGCGTTTCGTACCAGCGCGCGATCAAACGCGCGGGCGATGTTGCGAGGGCTCACGATCCGTGCAAAGATCCGCTCTCTCCCAGGATACATCGCGCCGTGTCGAGTCGCAGCACGCGCGCCCCAGACGTGTCCTCAAACAAACATTAAACCCACAAACAGCCACTGTGAGGACGTGCCGCGACTACCGCGCCGGTGCAGCGGCGACGGCAGTGACCTTCGCTGGCCGCCCGTGCAAGACAGCGCCCCACGCGATCAGCGGGCGGCGGGCAGCCGCAGCGGGAGCGACCGCGCCTCCCAACCCCAGTGACAGCTTAAAAGGCTGTGCAAGGCCCGCTCAGGTAAGCCCGGGAATCGCGGACGCGGTGTGGGTTCGGCGGCGTGCCCTGCTCGCCTTGCCGGGGCTGCGCACTGGGGGGATGCACTCGGGCGGACGTCAACACCTCGCATCGCTCCTGTCGAGACAGGTACATGGTGTCAGCGATAGCGGATGGGCCGGTGGGGTGGACATTGCAGGACTCTGCAGGCGGGCACCACCGGACTGCAACACACCGCAGCCTTGCACCATGCGATTGCTCATCGTGCGAGGATGCAGCAGACGGACGGAAGCTTTTGTGTTGTAATGTTGCTCTCGTTGCAACAACGAATACATCCATTTTACAACCTCTTGCAGTTGCGACATCCAGCATCAGACGGATTTACGGGCTGTCCCGATGGCTGGAGCGAACGGAGTTTCAAGTTTGTTTTCTTCTGCGCGTTGAAAACTGTCCTACAAGGTGACAGAGGAAAAGCAGGCACGGTGTCTCAAAAGACAAGAGAATTCGATATCGCCGCACCGGTGTTTGAGACGCGTTGAGACCCTATGACACAGTCAAGCGTGTGTGAGGTCTCACGCGTACTCAGCTCACAGCGCGAGCTCCGTGTTTCCCACTCGAACGACCTTCAGAGCCGAGGGCCTACTGACCCCGCGGGCTTGACACGTTCCTTCCCAGGGCTGCAGGGCGTGACGACGTGGTCGCAGCCCCTCTTACCCGTCATCTCTCGGTAACGACGTCGATACCGTGGTGTCCACGCGTGACCCATCCGTGACCCGCAGTCCAGCCGCTTTGACCGCGGGGCTCCACTGACGAACCACTACAGGCCGCTCGCATGTGTCTGGGCCGACAAGACCTCAACGCGCCTCTTGAAAGTGTTCCCGGTGCACGCGGCTTATCGACACGTGTCGGGTTCACATAGAGGGTACATATAGACGTTTGAGCGATAAACCGAGCCATATTTGTAGCTGTTCTGAATAAAACGGTAACTGTAACCACGCGCTGCTAGCAGGATACTGTCGCATACCTAGCACACCGATCAACGCACCGGCCGCTGTGTCTGGAGTGGCCCATGCAGGACACAGCGGTGCCCGGGGATTCCCGGAACTCTAGCCGTCCTGTTCTCCGTCGCCCCCGACCCCCCCCCCCCCTCTTCCGCCCTGCGCCGCGACCCCTTCTTCTCGTCGCTAATGCAGTGCAGACCGCCCCATCTGCACCGCGCTTTGTTCGAGCCGGCCGTGCATGAGACAGTCGGGACAGTGACTGAAGCGGTCCTAAGGTCCGCCTCCGCGCTCCAGTTACACACGTGATGCGTGGCGCGGTGTGCGTCAGAGGTCATGACCCGGCACCGCGCCCCGTCGACACGTGCTGTGATGAGGTGCTACCGGATGTACGACGTTGCGGTCCCAATAAATGTGACCGCGGCCCCGTCGGCGACCTGGGAGAGGTCTGGCGGGTTGGATGAGAACGGTATTATGAGTCTTGGCGATAAGGAAAACTCACTGCAGAGAGAGCGGTATCAGTTTCAGTGCATGAGCTCGCTGTTGACAAAGTTTGGCGATAAAGGGCTGTCAAGCATGTACAACATGTGTTTTCTCAGAATATACGTGTACTTGTCAAGGATGGTCTCACAGGTGTAATGTATACACATCCATACTAGTTTGATCCCAAGTTAAAATTTGCAGCAAAATTATGCGAATCGTAGTTTCGTCTTAGCCATTCTCCAAACCCACCGCCTGCCTAATGAGTCCTAGGACATAAGCCCAAGCCGTCGAGACAACCAGTTCGAAATCGGAATGTCGCTTCGAACCGGAGAATCGCCAGACCAGTTTAGTCTATGTCTGAGCAATCAGGTTTGCGCACATCCCCAGCGCGCACAAAAACCAGATCACCAGAAGTCAGCCGCTGCTGCCATGGCAACCAGCCGTTGGCCAAGGCGCCTGGCAAGAGGCGTCAGAGTCCCGAGTCAAGAAGCGGCCTTGCGTTAGACCGACCGGCCATCTCGATTCGGGACGTCACCCTTCACACGGAGGTGGCGCATGGGCTGGCCTTCATGCCCGATATAGCGTGGGAAGCGCGCACCACAAGCGAAGGGTCAACAAATCTGTAGAGATTGAATCTAGTTCCCGCATCGCCATTAGGGCTAGTTTAACCGCGAGGGGATGCAGGGGTAGTCCCTGGCCTTCGCGATTGACAGGCGTGGAGCTCGAGCCTCGCTTGCCACCTGCTATGCTGTCTCCACATGTCTGGTGGTGACAAAGGTGCTTGAGATTTTGGCAATGATGACCCTGACAATTACCGACGACGATTCATTATTGAAAGGGTGCGTCGCTACGGCACCACACCGCCAAAAGTGATGAGCCATCAACCATTTCGCCTTTCGACGCGATGATGATGCATCGATCCACTTTGATAGCGTGTCATTCATTTTATATATATATATATATATATATATATATATATATATATAAAGTATATATATATATATATATATATATATATACTTTTATATCATCTCATCAAAAATAGCCATGATTACCAGACTAAGCACTAGAGAGAGCAGACTCTCTCTCATGCTAAGCACTAGAGAGAGCAATTAGCACCAGAAGTACTTAGTACGTAGAGGTGGCCCCAGCAGGCCATGCGCACAAAGAACGGGCACCTCGTGGTGCGTGTTCGCACATAGCCAGCCGGACCGCCCCCTCCGTCTGACGTGGCCAGCTCTTGGATGGTGGTCCCAGCCGCCCGCGCGCCCCAGAGCCTGGGAACAAAGCTCGGTCCTGGACGACGCCAATGATCGCGGAGGAACCGGTTCC